TTGGATGTTGCTGTTTCTGAGCTCGAGAGCTGCTCAGCTCTGCTGTGGCTCCTGAAAACAGATTTTTGTAACTGCTCCCACTGTTGTTCCGTGGAAGTTCAGCACAGCAAGGAGCTGGTGGTGGGAAGGTTCCTTAAATTCAGGTTGTGGGTTAATGAACAGCCTAAACTGGCCAATTCTGTGTAAATCACAAATAAAACCCCTGAGGATGGCAGCGGTTTTGGTGTTAAATGAGCACTTTGGTGGTGCAGAGCAGGGTGAATGCTCCACACCATGATCTGGGCTCTAAGTTTATCACCTCAGCCCCTCCCAGCTGGGTATCTCAGCTGGATTTGGAGAGTCTATCCAAAACCTGATACCCTTCTGCCCTCTGAGTGTGTGTGTGCATGCACACAAATATAAATATCTATAAATCTACATGTGGYTGCTCAATCTGGAACAGCCCTGGCYGTCTGTTTGCTGCMAATCCTGTCCTTAGGGCAGCAGTCTGTGAACTCCCCCAAGATAAAGCTGCCTTGCTGAGTGTTCCCAACACTCCCAGCCCTCCTGGGCTTTCGYTTCCCGGCTGGCTTTTAATGCAATGTAAAGATTAGAAATTATATCTTCCATTAAAACTTTATTAGGTGGCTCTCCCACTCCCGAGAGCGGCTTCACTCACTCACAGCCAGAGGGATTCCAGTCACTGAATGCTGAATGTGAAAATGCAGGGGGGGGAGAAGGAGAAAACCACTTGCAGTCTTTGAAAAKATGAGGAAAAATAAGAATATTTTGTTCAGTGCCTGTCTGAGATRTCTGTAGCTGAGATATCTGGGCACRGGAGAGCGACTGCCAGCATGGGAAACGATCCCTTTCTTGGCAAGGGGTGCCTCCAAACGTGTTTTTCCCACTTGAACACGCTGCAGATTTCCACTGGAGTCTGTCACAGTCCCGGGGAGCTCCAGACATCTGCTCAGCCCCGTGATGCTGCTCAGGCTGCTGCAGTGATTGATGTGTGGTTACCCCCGAGAGCCGCCTGAGTGGCAGCAGCTGACCTTCCTCAGAGCATCTGCAGCACTCCTCGCCTTCCCTCTGGCTCCTGCTGTGACCTTTGGGTCCTGATTGATCCCAGATTAGTGCTTGTTAACGATAAATACCCTAAAATTAGGATACAGGCCTGAAAAGGTTAGACAAGCTCGGGGCAAGTTAGCCCAAGGCTGTGCTGGCCATGCTGGTGGTTTGTCTTTGTGCTCAATTTCCCAAAAGGCTTTTCCATTTTTATTACCCCCGATTTCAAAATCAAAACCATCTGGACAGCCCCAGGATGGGGTGAGGCACCTGTGCACAAAGCCCTGACACAGTGCAGGGGATGAGCTGAAACTCATTTTTCTGGGCTCYCCAGAATGTGAATCAGGATTTTTCCAAGTGAAGATGGGTAAATGCATCCAGCTGTGCTGGACTGGCTTCAGTTCATCAGTGGCAAGGAAGGTTTTTCATTTTCCCTTGAGCAGTTTCTTTGGTTTCCCCACTCCATTTGCAAACCTGTGGCTGCCCAGGCACATCAGAGTGGGTTTGTACATTATATTTATGAATTATATGGAACAAGGTACTTTTGTATCCAGAGATGGTACCCAGCCATGTAGGAAAGCCCATCAAGAACATCCCTGATCATCARCTGTGAAATGGTTAAATAAAAACTTTGTTCCAAATCACCAAAGGCATTTCCAGCAACATCTTCGAGTGTTCAGGAACAAAACAAAACAAAAAAAAAAAACATTTGAGGGGAAAATTATCGGTGTCATGGGTGATACAAAGCTGCATCAGTACCTATAAAGTGCCCCAGCAATGCAGGAGAACTGGAGTAATGAACAGAAATGCTCACTTWGAGCTTTTTCCATATTTTATGTTAATCATTAGGTTCGAGCCGAAATTAGCTTTAATTGATATTAAGAGTTGAAAAAATGAAACCCCTGGAGAACGAGTCCCTTTAACCTTTAATGATGCAGTAAATAAAATATCCTGTCAACATTTGTGCAACAGTAAGGGCTTTCAAAATTCCATATCTGTGGTGTGAGCAATTCAATATGTCTAATTCTCTCCATTACAGCAGAGAAAAGTGATGTCGTTGCATAAATTCAGCTGCAGGTTTGCCATGTTCCCAATCTATCCAGTAATTCCCTCTGCTGCCTCGTTGCTTCTACCAAGGAGATGGAGGGAGGAAGGAAGGACTGAGATCAATCCCAAAATTTTTCTTGTGCTGCCTTTYCCTCTCTGCCCCCTGACCTGCAGGCTCCTGATGCCAGAGAAAGGGCAGAGAAATTGTGCCTCAGCAGAGGTAAAAGGAGCAACGCTGCCTGTTCCTCCTTTCAGGTGAAATATGCCTGGAAATGTTTCATTTTTCACTTTAAAGGCACAGCAGAATTGCAAAATCCTCCAATACTTTAGGGACATTTAGTTTGCTAATGGCCAGGCCATTCTTCTCTCTGTCAGRGCTCAGCCTGGTGCTGGAATAGCTCACAAGTGACTCGGTGAAGCTCGTGGAGCCTTCCCTCACTGAGAGCAGGAAATCTGTTTTTCATAAAATCCGTTTGGCCGTTGCAATCAGCTGGAAGTGTTTCATAATTTAAACAAGTTAAGAGTGAGGGTGACTCTGCTGTTCWTAACAGAAAACAAATCTCCCCAATTAAAACCACTTTTTGTCTCTCACCAGGGCTGATGCAATAACAGCTCTCAGCCCATGGGGTGTAAACTTCCTTGGGAAAGTCCCCAGCAAGACTTTCTGTGTTCAAAGGGAACATATTTCTCCATATTTCTAGAAATTCCTGAGTGATGCTGGTRTTTCTCTGGGTATGAGTCTGTTAGATGTGAAAATAACTTCTCTGAGACAAGGCTTTAAAACCTTTGAGAAAACCATGTGTGATTAAACTGCTGGTGAAACATCAATTTTCGTCATTCTTTTTTCCTTCTTGCTTGTGGTTTGGGAGGATTRAGGTGAGGAAGAGAAACAGAAGTGTCCCCACAATTAATTTTACCTTACACTGTGTTTTCTTCCCTCTGATGAGACCCAGATAAAACAATGTCCAAGGCCTGCCAAGGTGTGTTGAAACAGTGGTCAAGCACTGGAACAGGCTGCCCAGGGCAGTGCTGGAATCTCCATCCCTGGAAGCRTTCCAAAAAACTCTTTGTGGCTCTTGGGGACATGATTTATGTGATTTAGTGGTGAGCATGGTGGTGGGTTAATGGCTGGGTTTGATCACCTTAGAGGCCTTTTCCAACTGTAAAAATTCTGTGATTTTATGAATCAGCAAGGAGTCCATATAAAATGAATGTTTTATCAGCAAAAGCRTTCAAAAGGTGAGTTCAGCGGTGCTGTGCCTGATTTAAAGAGGAAACAGCCAAACCAGTGAGCTCTGATGGAAATGTCCAGTAGAATCCTGGCCAAGGCACTCCAAGRGGTGACCAGCAAAGAAATGGGAAGTGCTGGGAATGGTGGAGACAGCCCTTAAAAGCAAAGCAATTTTATGGAGTTAAGACACGGAGGATCTCATTTTCTTCTAGAAGACTCATTACCATGATTTTGTTACACATTATTTATGGGCTGTTATGATAGTCCTGGCAGGTCATAATTGGCTGAAGCCGGAAAATTAGTCACATTTTTCACATTTGGAAGAATGATCTGTACAGTTGCACTTAATGACTTCATTCCCGTGCAGGGAGGGAACTGCCTGGCTTGGGGTGTGGCTGGATTAACCCTCGGTGCTTCTGGGCACCCTGGGGTGGCTCAGCAGGTGCCAAAATGACTTTTCATGACTTCAAAGCAGCTTTTTGGCATGTGAGTGACTCGCTGCTTTCATGGTGGCTTTCCCTTTCCTCCCCTTCCCTTGAATCTGAGCTGGTTTTGCTTGGCACTGGATTTTCTATGGGACAAATKATATTTTTARAYTGATTTTTCAGTGCATTGCRCTCTYCCCATCAGWGCCACCGCAGCATCACCGTCAGTCMGACGGGCCCAGCTCTTCCAGGGATGGTTTTTAAACCCCTGGAAGGTTTTGGAAAACAGATCAGCCTGAGGCAGAGCCCCTCGGCAGCGCTGCTGAGAGCTTTGCTGTGTGCACAGCACAGCCCAAACAGTCTATCACGGATGATGAATCAGGAGGGAGCACTATAATTGTTTTATCTGCCTTTTGGGACAGCACAAGCTGCTTACTCGTGAATTAGAGCCTGGTGGATGTTGCTGTATCTTCCAGAAAAACGGGCAGCTCTGATTTGGGGATTCCCAGTGATGAGGAATCCGCTGCAGTGTTGTCTGTCCACTYCCAAACTCCTGAACGTTCATGGGTAAAGAACAGACCTGAATGGTTGAATAAATCTGTGCTCCCTGGGATTGCAGCATTTGGGTCATGTTGCAATTCTGTCTGCTAGATTAAAGAGAAAAGCATATTGCCACAGGAGAAAATTACAGACCCTGATGCAGCAAATAATGCCTTGGGATGAAGGATGCCAGGAGAAAGTGAAGGGATGACTTGATTTGCTTTGCAGCTCTTGTAAAAACCTTTCCCATTTCGCTAATGCCTGTTTTGGTTGGTAGGTGTCAAACCCAGCACAATTCACTGGGAGAACCTCCTACCTGCTTTTTGATATCCCCTATTTATGAGATGAGAGATGGTATGAGCCCTTTGTTCAGAGCATCCTGCTGATGGCAGGAGCAGCTCAAAGCACCCAAAACCCCACCAGGAGCAGTGACTAAACCCCACCCGTGGATCTCTGATCTCTGATCCATCCTCTGTCCCTCCAGCACGGCAAAGGCTTGGCCAGTGCTGAGCTGAAGGCAACCTCTTAATCACTCTAAGAGGTGGGAGCTGGAGTGTTTGTAAAATACCCTACAAATGGGAGGGTTTGATGGCGTTAAATGAAGGATCAGATTCATTAAATTAAGTGGAAAGCAATGTACACAGATAATTTCAAGGGTTGAGGCTGAATACGGGTTTTAAATAGGAAGTGATCAGCCGCTATACACAACACAGAGCAGCTCTCAAACATTTTTAATGACAGTATTTGTACACACTTTGGTTTAATTAACACATGGCACAGGAGAGGGCTGGTAACTAGGATGTGCAGTCTCACACCAGTCGTCTCAATTAGAACACATGAAATTTCAAGCATCAACACACCCAGAGCAGCACCCGTCCCTGCCCGGCGGTTTGAATTTCCATCACACCTTGTTTTTCTTCCATGTGGCAGTAATCCCTTCCCTCCAGATGGAGAAGTCCCCTTGGAAGTGGACAATCAGCTCCTCATTTGGATTTATTTCTTGTTTTCTGCAATCAGAATTAAGGGGGACCGTGTATTGTCACTGCCCGGTGATCCACGTTGCGTTTCTGACAGCTGTGTTTATTAGTAAATACATAATAATTGCTTCCAGAATTAACAGGAGCTGCTCTCCCATGTCTGAACAGGCAGGAGAGGTTTTCTGTGATCCCGTGGTGAGCACAGCAGTCCTTGGGTGCTGGGGGCAGTTTTGGGGCAGGCATGGCTGGGTTTCACTGCTTGGTGGGCTCWGCACTGCTCCGGGGCACCAATTTGAGAATAATCGGCTTCTCCGGTGTCAGGAGCCCCACAGAGCTCAGCTTGATGGGGATCTGCAACACAAAGAGGGRAAAACACACGTGGAGATGGACAGGTTAAAGGTGCAGGGATGGAAGATTTGGGCACAGTACGATCCCAGGAGCCTCAGCCCATTCCTCACCTGAGTGTCTTTGCAGGTCTGGAAGGTGAAATGCTGCAGCAGRGAGGCGATGGCCACTTTGAGGGTCAGCAGAGCAAAGCGCATCCCRATGCAGTTCCTGGGGCCGGCCCCAAAGGGCAGGTACGTGTAGGGGTCAATGGACTCCTTGTTCTCCTTTTTGAACCTGGGCAAAGGGGAAAAGTTGTTCAGGGAAAGGGAATGAAGGCAGTAAAACCACAAACCCTTATCTATCCCCAGATCTCTCGCTGGTGCCCTGCAGAGCCTGGTTTGGGTTTTTCCTGAGGTGTCTCAGGGCACCCCAAAATTCAAGTCCTTGCCCAGGACACGATGGGATCCCACTTGAGGGTTTGATTTTAATTTGGTCWATCCAGATCAGTAGAATTTGGAAGCAAGGTGAAAATCTAGGCAACATGCTGTCCCAGAGTGAGAGATATTTCCTGTGTGTGGTGTTTAGTGAGAGAGGAGTCAGTGGTTGGTTTGGTTAGGGCAGCCTATGGTTTCTGTTTCTTTGGGATTGAGAAGAAGATTTCATTTAAAAAATAACTAACTAGGGAAGGTGAGCCTTGTAAACAAGGAGGGAAGGCAATTTTGGAAGGATCAAGCCTGGCATATTTARCAGAAGCTTGTGTGAAGGGAACAGGCTCGACAAGGAGGATTATGCAGAGGATGGCCAGCAATTACAAAAACTGCCCATTAACCCCCTCTCAGGAAGCTCAGAAATTGGGTACAAGATCCTGTGAGGTATCAGTGGTATTCTCCCAACAAGATTATGTTGTTTGAAACCCTTCTTTAAGAGCAAAGCTCATTTTCTTCTTAAAATGACATTCCCACGAGCCTTCAATTCCTCATCCGTATTGTTTGCAAAAAGATAGGAAGAACACCATKAGGAAGCTAATCAGAGATTAATGCTTAATTACTGAGGAAAAAGCAGCGTGATATTTCTTCCCTCTCATTAAGCTTTTTGTACCTCTCTGGCCTGAACTCGTCTGGGTTGGGCCAGTACTCGGGGTTGCGGTGCAGGACGTAGGGTGGGATGGTGACCACCACTCCTTTGGGAATGGTCACCCCATTAATTTCCACATCTTTCTTGCAGGTTCTCTCAATCCTCCCCCCGAGGGGGTACAGCCGGAGGGTTTCRTTCACTGTCATGTCCAGATATTCCAATTTCATGATTGCTTCATATGTGAGAGGAGCCTGCAGGAGCACAGGAGGGAGGTGAGAAGGTATGTTGGCATCGGAACTGGGTTGTCCTAAAATGACTGCAGAAAGCAGAGCGTCCCCAAACCCCTCTGCCCCAAATTTGACTCAGACWCGCTGAAGAGCAAAATGCAAGGTAGAAATTGAGCAACTGGTTTTGGTTTTCTGCCTCTGAGTTATGGAAACACCTGGAAATCCACATTTCTTGTGCATGGGCACAGTGTGGCAATCGGGGTTTGTGCAGTGGGGTGGAGGGTTCTGGCAGTCGAAAGAAAATCACTTTCTTGTAGGGCTGAGTTGTCTCAGTTGGTGTCTCTTGGAAAATCCATGGTGCTCAGGGGCTGAAGATTTGACCCAGGAGGGCAGCAGGGGCAGGGGGTCCTCGCCGTGCTCAGGGTCCCCTTACCTTGTTGGGCAGAACGGTGTCGATCTCCTGCAGCAGCTTCTGCTGCACGTCGGGGTGCAGGGCCAGCTCGTAGGCCAGGAAAGCCAGGCTGTTGCTGGTGGGCTCATAGCCAGCAAAGATGAAGATGAAAGCCTGGGCCAGCACCTCGGTGTCGGTCAGGGCTGTGGGGAGATGRGCAAAGGCAGAGTGGGGTGATGGGGTCAGCAAGGAGAGCAGCAGGTGCTGGGAGGCAGGGCTGGTACTGTTGTTTTCTGATAACATTTTCAAAACTGCTCTGCCTGCCTGGAAATGTYCATYTTATASAGGGGGAGGTGATTTCYTGAGTATAAATAACTGACRTGGCTGTCCTGCTCCCTGGACAGGGATCTTAGCCCTGGTGCTGGCACTGGGGGATGGAATTCTACCTGGAGCTGCTCAGAGGAGATGATGGTAACACAAACACCTCCCCGTGTTCTCCTCACTCCCACAGCCCCGTTCCCACAATGAAGATTTGGGTGKTTTTACCTTTGTATGAGTGATTTGCTTCGCCATTCCCATGGCTGTCTGAATGCTGGGATTCGATCATCAGCTGCAGGAAATCAACCCTGCCCTGAGAGGGAAAGCAGAGAGAGCCTCTTTGGTGGCAGACTCCTTGGAGGGCTCACATCAGCAGATTTCACAGCCTAAGCACAATCTGTAGGCTGAAAGCATCCCCAAAATGCACACAACTTCCTTACTGAGAAACATAACCCTTGCTTTTTGTTTTGRAAACCTGTCTATCCATTAAGCCACRGGGTGGGGGAGCAGTRTCTTGAATGAATTCRGGGAAAAGAACCCAAAATCTAAAAGGGATAATTTTGTCAGGAAGCAGCTGCAGTTTTTGAGAAGTACCAGGGGAAGGCACAACCCTAAAGGTGATTTTGCTGCCGTGCTCTGCTTACTCTGCACTCTCTCCTCCCCAGCCTAATCTCCTTCAGGGAGTCTCTCACTCTCTCATTACAAGAGCTGCAGACTGAGCTTAGTCCAGCTCTGCTGAGCCTTTATCWGGATTTACCTTCAGCTCACGGATGTGCAAAGTCCCCCTGAGTGTCTGCCAGGACGTCAGGTGGGGTTTTTCTGACAGTATTAAAATGAAGTGTTTACASTCGAGTAGGCTCAGGGTTTTGTTGAGTCATTGTACTTTGGCTTCACCCTTGATATCATCACCCTAATTATGTCCCTCTTCAGTGTACTTTCTGCCACAATTGCACTTCAAATTCCCACTTACCTTGTGAGGCTCCTTTTCACGTTCCTGCTTAATTTTGGCGATGGATCTCAGGAAAAAATCTACAGCATCGCCGGAGAAGACGCTTACGTTCATCTTGGCCAGGACAGGAGTCAGGAATGGGAAAACAACTGAAAAACAAATAAAAAGTTAAATTGTACCCTGTAAATAAACCTCTCCATAACAGATAGCTGTGGATGCTACTGGGAAATTATTTCCCTTTTCAATTTCTTTACTTGAGAGAAGCCTGGACTTTGTCTTTTTTCCCTCTGTTTCAYTCCCTTGGAAGAGTTTTTGTATCAAACAGGCACAACCAAGCTGGGTATAATAATTTCTTTGAGAGAAGACAAGGGCACATTCTATCTCCTGTTTCTAAGGCTCTGCTTTCTAAGGACAGGTTACATCTGGACACAACAGGAATGTGACTCAGAAGAGAAATATTGAGAATTCTGAATTCTTTTTTCRGTCTGAGCTATTCACTGCCCTGCTGTGCTCATGCAAACATTTCCAAGTCCCCTTCAAAGCATTTCCTTCGTCCTAGAATCTGCATCTTTATCCTCTGCAGAGATTTGTAAAATCTACAGCACCAGAACCTTCTCTAAGCACAGATCCCAACTTTCCCTGGGTTTCAGCAAGGTATCCAACCTCAATTTAAGGTTCTTTGCTGCTAAGCTATGGCACTGGAGGAAATTGCACCTAATTACAGTCCCCACTCAGCACGCTCTTCCAGAAAATGCATTTCAGATAGCACCGCTCTCCTCAAGCCTCACTTGCTTCTCAATCTTGGAATAATTTCCCAGCACTTAATTGGATATTTCTGTGTGGTTCATAAGATTCTTGGGCTGTGGATGCCGAGAATGGAGGAAGCTTTAGCCCTCCCCAGAGTTTTAGAACGAAGCTCACACCGAGGGAATGATGAGACCAGGACCAGCAGGGCTTCATTCCCAGCAAGGGGAGATATCCAAGGAGTCACTTACATGACAAGATGAAGACTGGGTCAAAAAAGTCAAACTTGACCAATTTCTTCATCTCTCTGACAAAGGGGTCATTGGGGTTGTTCATGGAGTCAATGTTCACACCAAAGGAAGTGCTGGCGACAACATCCATGCCGTAGCTCCCAAAGATGCTGAGGATAGTTTGGAAAAAAATAAACTATGGCTGAGTATTTGGGCTAAGTGAATGTATTTTTTCCTCACGCCTATGTGACATTCAAATATAAATTCTCATAAGAAAATCAGATATGTGGTACTGAGCAGAACTTACAGAGAAGGGGATAGATCTTCAGAGAGCTTTGCTTTCAAGCCTGCGCAGGTTTTGAAGTCAGAAAGCTTTTCCAAGGATTTTAAAACAGCATGGAGCTACAGGAACGGGTTGGTGGAAGGACAGTGTGTGGAATTCAGCATGGAAACCTCTCATGGAGGGGTGGCAGCACACCCTGCYTCAAACATGCCCTGGGAGTGGTCCTGTTCCACCCAGCCCAGCCCCTGTTCCAAACTGTCCAGGTCTCCCTTGCAGGGTTTTGGTTGAGTGGGATTTCTGCTGGTTTGTGGTTCCTGGTTCTCAGCTGCTCCCCTCCTGCATTTGTGCTTTGGAATTGGGGTGAATACACAGGATTTTGTCCAGAGCCCGCAGGGAGGGCACAAATGAAGCAAAAACACTCAGGGCCCCTCGACAGCCTCAGTCCCCCCAGTAATGGGGTGTGTGAGGGGTCAGCACCCCCTCTGTCCTGGGGCTGCTCAGAAATCCTGAGTAAACGCAGGGAAAACTTCATTTTCCTGCCAATCCTGGGGTTCYGCTTCATCTCTGGATTCACAAATCTCTGCTGGAGCATTTTTCTTCCTACCTACCAAGAGGAAATTTCCTAACATCCAAATTAAAATTTTTCCCCTTTCAGATTTCCAGTCAGGCTTTCAGCAAGCCCCGTTCCTCCTTCCAGAGCCCCGGCTGACCCAGGCAAAGATCTGCATTGCTGGTAGCCACTGAACCACGGCACTTTTAACGAGGTTTGTCCTGCCTGCTGCTCCCAGCAGCTACTTACTCCTTCACAGATATTGAGTTGTCCTTTTTCGCTTGTTTTTGAACGTTCTTCACCAAAGCTTCCCCGTAGTGCTTCATTATAGGGAACATCTGTAAYGCAAACCAGGCACGGTCACCTCAGTACAGTACATTTTGCTGCTTTTTCAGACAGGCTCATGAAGGCTATGGGGAGTTYTATGAATATTTACAAATAAGATCTCTCCACTGCAGTTTTATTTTAAGGCTTTTCCGGTTGGAATTAGACATAAATTTGTGGTTCAGTCTGTAGCTGTTCCTCTGCTTTACCTCCTTCAGTTTTCCGCTGGTGAAGGTTGGAGAGAGCACGGTCCGGAGCCTTTTCCAKTGGTCATCCTCGGCCAGGGAGATGGCATTGGTCAGTACCCCGGCCAGATCTGTGCGCTGTGGGGACAGAAGGGAAGGGGTGAACCCCAGGAAAGAGAGMAGGAGCCTTACACACCCCTGCGTGCTCACAGCGACCCAAACCCACCCATAAATCCCGATATTTATACAGATTCAGACCCAGGTGTGAGAGCAGGCTGTGTCTGCTGTAAGGCAGGGGAACAGTGACATGCAGTGGCCACGTTCAGCAATCCCCACACTCCATCCCAAAGGATTCTTGGTGTCCCCCTGCGCTTCTGCTGGGCTCTGTGCTCATCACAGCGCTGCTGCTCTTACCCTCCTGTTGGTGAAGGTGCTGTAGCAGTCTTTGACCAGCACGGATTTGATGATGTGGGGGTCTGTGACAGCCAGGGTGGGTTGTCTGCCATCGTAAATCCTGGAGGAGGGAGGAGAGGAGGCAGGTAAATAACCCCAGAAATTGAAGGGAAAGGTTTGGCTGATGCCCATCAAACAAAACGTGTTGGACAAACGCTCCTCCATCACCAGGTTTGAGTACAGAAATGTAGAAAGCAGGGATGGAAAAGGACTCCCAGATCTTCTCCCATCTGGTTTCGTGAATGGTAAAGGGGGATAAACACCTCCCAAACTCACAGGGAAATGAGCAGGGCTCGGGTGCTCAGAGGACCAGATACTAAATGAAACAARTGTCTCCACTTCCTCCCCTGACTCTCTGTGTTTTTCCAGGCACTTAAACACATTACAGTATTAGAAGGAAACTTGTTCGACCCCTTTCAGGCTCTTGAGTTGGGTGTCTGGAGACTTGGGCTGACAGCACTGAGACATCCTTGGAGATGAAACTCAGTCCTTGTTTTTGTCTTTTTAAGCTGCCAGCTCTGAATGCTTTGCTGGAACAGATGTCGATTAAGCTGATTTGTGCACTCTCCCCACTCGTGCAGAGATACATTTTCCAGACCCCACATTTTAAAGCTGCTGCAGGAACCAGTGGATGCAGCATGGAGGATGTGCAAGGCTGCAGTTACAAGAGTTATAAGAGCAGTGATAAAAGAGGAGAGGAGGTGTCTCGAGCAGAGCAGCCATCACTGCAGCAGGTGGGGATCAGCAGCTGCAGGAAGAGGAAATCTTTGGATCAGCTCCAAAGGGAGTCACTCACATTCCTCTGCTGCTGGTGAACCAAAGGAACCCAACCTCCCAGTTCCAGACCCTGCCTAAGTCAATAGTTGTGCTGCTGGTTTTGTCGGGAGCAGGTGAGGGCCTTTTGTTAGCAGATTTAAACGGGATTTCACAGCTCTGGTCAGAACAGTTTCTGTGTGACGTGACAGTGACACAGCCCTGCATCATCAGACCCCAGTGTGAGCCACCAGCAGCACCCCATCACTGCTGTTCTCATCCTTTTGAGACTGTCAGGGCTGCAGGTGGAGAAAAAGGAGCTCTCCACATGAATTTTTTCACCTCTTTGTACAGATTCTAGTTTTACTTGAAGGAGAGAGCAAAGGTTCATACTCACCCCCAGATTTTCCCGTATTTCTTGAAGCATTCGCTGTCAAACTCCAGGAAACCCTGTGGAAAGCAATTTTAAAATTGTCACTGGATTATCCTGGATTGAAAGAGACTCACAAGGACCATCCAAATCCAACTCCTGGCCCTGCATAGGACAGCCCCAAAAAATCCCACCACGTGTCTGATAGTGATGTCTGAATGCTCCTTGAGCTCTGGCAGAGCTGAGTTATCTCAGAGAGGATGCAGAGGAGGGGATGATGTTGGRAACAGCTTTTAGCTGCTGTTCAGAGCTGCTCTGTGAGCTTTGCTGGCCCCCAGAGCTGTGACAGAGGATAAATGCACCCTGTGCTTTGAGGGAGCTGYTGGCAAAGGGCAGCTGGAAATCAGCCAGCCGGGAGCACTCCTTTGGTCTGAGCCTTATCCCACACCCACAGCGGCCTTTGCACACCCCCTGTGTGTCAGAGGAGCTGGAATTGGAGAAAATTTATCACCAGAGAGTCTGTGTCAGCACAGGCAGGGATGGCTGGGGCCAGCAGGGCTTCCCCCATCACTCACTTTGCGATATTCCAGGCACGTCCCAAAGAAAGGCAGAGGCGTCGGGCCGGGAATGCCCAATTTCTTGAACACACCAAAGGGCCAAATCCCGTATCTGTGGGGCAGAAAGGACAGAGGGGTTACATCACTGGGGCTGGGACACCTGGAGACAGCAGCAACACCCTTCAGGAGATGAGGRAGAGGAGGTTGGTCCAGGAGGTGGAAATAAAGCAGTGCAAATGGAAATTGCCCTGTGAAAAACTGCTGAATGGCCGTGGTAAGGCTCTCACAGAACTTGGAGGGATCCCTTTGGTGGGAAAGCAATTGTTTCCACCACAGAGACAGGATCTCAAAGTCTTTAGCACAAATCCTGAGGAGCTCATTGCCTACCAGAAAAGGGAGCTGGAAGAAGGAACACCAGCTTTACATGTTTTCATTGAAGAGAAATCAAAGCAGCGCCAGAAATTACGTCCCAAACAGGGCTTTTGTCAAACTGCACTTCAATTTCATTTATTGTTCTCCCTCCCTGAGTCCAGCATTAGCTCAGTGGAAGTCTTGCCTTGATGGTTTTCTCTTTAGATTTTATTGACAGCCCTGCAGATTTCTTTCCTCTGAAGCACCCTTCCTGGCAGCTCGAAAGTTATTGCTTCTACCTTGGGGCTTTCTCTTTCTCAACAAGGGCTGCAGCCCTTTGAAGCTCATCTTTGGCTGTGTTGAAAGAGCTCCTCAAAATATTTGTTTTTAGTTGGTAGCTGCAGCTTCTCAAGTGAGCAGTTCATTGCAGAAGGGATGCAAAACGGGCAAGGTTTGGATGTTAGCAGAGATCCTCTTCAGGCCAAGGCTGCTCAGCCAGGATTTTGGAGATATTGATCTGAAAAGGCAAAATCTAGGCTGGGATATAGCAGGGGATCTCCCTTAAAATAAGAAATGCTTTTTAAAATTCTGGGGATCCCAAATGAGATCGGTTCTTCCCCAGCACAGCTTCTGCCAGAGAATAAAAGCAGAGCCCACCTTATGATCCAAACAGGGCAGGTGAAAAATGGGGAGCTGGGTGTTGTCAGGTGAAGAAAGGTTTCCCAGAGCTCAGTTTGTCAATGTTTAATCTTTTTTRTCAAAGGTTAATTCAGTACTGGGAATCCAATGTTTGTGGATTCTCATTTTTAATGTTTATAGGTGGCCAGGGCTGAGGGASGACCAGGAAATGTCAGGTTGGGCTCGCTACAAAGCCCAGAAATACAAAGACTTGTAGGAAAAATAGGTTTAAACCACTTAAAACAAGGCCAGGAAAATCAGTCTGATACTCCTACAAYTAAAATGTGTCAGTGTTTTCTGCAGATTGAAAAGGACCATCCAGCTTAAATCCAAAGAATAATCATTACTTCTTCCTGCCATGGATGTGAAGCAGAAATGCCCAACATTCCCTCATATGTGAGCTGGAACAGTGCAGCCCCAGGTGGACAAGAAGAGTCTAAACAACCTCTCTGTGTTTAAAATGGGCAGTGAAATTTCTATTTTAGCTCTGATATCAGTGCACCAAGATCTGGGTTTAGTCCCTTTTGCAACCACAAGTGTCTGCAGAAGGTGCAAGCCTGGCAACCAGCAATCTTAGATGGCCACAGAGTTACTGAGATATGAAAGTGAAGGTCAGGATTGAGGATGGTGGTTTTGGTTTGGTGGTTTTGGTTTTGTGGTTTTGGTTTTGTGGCTTTGGTGCGGTTTGGGGTGTTTGTTTCTTTTTTTTTTAACAGTCTGCCCCAAACAGGCTTTTGAGTGATCCAAATCCCAGAAAATGGTTTGGAAAATATGGCTAAAACTTTCTGAGCCTTGCTCTGGGCTCCACTCCCTCCCCCAGCAGAATGGTTGTGAGGAGGGACACAAGATGCAAACCAAACCTCTGCAAAGACCCCTCCTGGTCCAGGTGCCCCAGGGAGCATCTCACCAGGGCACCATGGAAGGAGTCAGGAGGAGGAAAAGCTGATCCTATGAATATTCTTTCCCTCCTTGCTGCTCTCCCCTGTGCAGCAGGGTCATCTCCTGCTGGCTCACCTGCAGAGCAGCCTCAGCCAGGGAGGCACAGCTGGATGTCTGTGAAAAACARCCCCACGGATCATGGCCCTGACTGAAACCAGCACCCTGCTAACCAGAACCTGGCACCGTTATTATTCAATTATTCCTTTGATGCTTAGCAGCAATCTCATAACTGGATGGGAATACTCCAAACCTTGGAGCAAGATCACACATCTGCACAGTCTGTAGACTTCTCTGCTACATCCCAGATCCTGGTTAGAGGCTGGAAAATGGAAAATCACCTCTACTTGTTTGCTCTTCAGCAGATTAGTYGCACGAAAGCGAACGATGGCAAGAGCGGAGAATCAATAAAGAATATTTTACTCACAGTAGCAGGAGGGCCACGAGGAGGAGCAGAATGCCCCATGTCTCCGTGGAGAAGGATGGCAGAAGGTTCATTTCAGTTCTTCTCTGACTGGCTCTGAGCTCTGCCCTGGTGTGTTTGCCCCACGGCTGTGGGAAAYAGGAGCCTTGCCCGGCGTGCAATCTTTTTTATCCGATCATATGATTTAGGGGCCCTCCTTCTGTCACAAAGGAGGAGGAGTGGAAGGCAAAGGTGGGAAAGCATGCTAATCTGAAAACGATGATTCATGTGACAGACAACTGCCTGGCTGAACTGTCAAAGGTTCAAATTATTTCATGCTTATGTTGCCAAACATTTCAGCTGTTTCCCTGTTGTAAAAGTAATACCTGACTTCCCACAGACTAACGCCCCTGGGCTCCTACACCAAACTAAATAAAAACAGGCTACAATGAAAAGGTAAATCCCAAAGCAGGTGTCAGGGCTGGTTTACAAAAGGGAAAGAGAAGAGAAAAGGTTATTCACATATTGTATGACAAGAAGATCTTTTCCGGCAGATGAATCAACTTTGACAGAATTTCAGATTTTGTTTGAAATATCTCTCTTTCTGTGATATAAGAGCAAGCACTGCCCGCTGTGGGTTCTAGCTAAGGCAGGAATTTGTCCCCTGTAAATGCTGTAGGAGTCCAGTCTGCCTTGTTTGCTGGCCTGTGGCCAAGTGTTTTGTAAGAGAAATGCTGTCACTCCACAACTGTGAGCAGTTCAAGTGCCACCCTTTCCAAAGCTCCACTCCTGTCTCGTGAATAAAACCCACACCCAMCCTTCTGCAGCAGCTGGGAAAAGGCACGAGTAAGGGGAAAACACGAATTTTGTACAGGCTCTCCTGTGAGCATGGTGCAGAAAAGCAAGAGCAGGCGTGGATGTGCAGAGAGGAGACTGTGATGTGGAGAAAACTGGGCACTTAGGATGGTGTGTGTTTGTGGGGTCAGGCCAGGGCAGGAGGTTCTAGGGTTTGCATAGATGTGCACTACAGCAATTTTAGGACTTCATTCAGAACTCTAAAATGAGCAGAGCTTACTAGCAGAGCTGCTGTCTTCAGAAGGGTGTTTACYATCTGCACTGGGTGGAAATAAGTGGGTGTTTCAATCTTTTGGCACAGAAGCCCTGCGAGGCTGTGGTTGATTCTACACTGACAGCAGCAGATCTCAGCCCCCATCCCAAGGAGCATCACCCTCCTTAGCTCAGCATTTGTGTCTYGTTTCACCTTTGCCTGGCCTTTGCTCCGACCTTCAGAGACAGATCAGCTGTAGATTGTTGTGTAACAAACACAGCCTGCTTTAGTTTGACGTGGACAGACAAGTTCATGACACAGCTCTCCAGGGCTCTGCTGGSTCCTGCCTTTCTTGGTTCACAGATGTTGCAAGAGTTTGTGGTTCAAGAGGTGCTTTCCCCTCCAGGAACTGGTCACAGCCACCGTTGGTGCTCCAGGGCTCCTCTTTGCCCATTTTGGTGTARCCTTGAAATTTGAGTTTCCTGGACACCAAATGTTCCCAGCTCACTGTGTTGGGCAACAGGTTAACAGAGTTTATTCAGGAAATAGGATTGCTGCAGGGCTGCTCATCCTTAGTGGAAATAAGCCCCAATCCTTGTCCYCTTTGGGTCATTTTAATGATGGTCTCGGGGAAAACTTGTGTGAAAAAGCAGAGGTGTGAGGCCTTGCTGTGGTTTTGCATTGTGACCTGATGATTTCTGCCAAATGCACGTGGGCTTCAAACAAACACCATCCCCTGGGGAAAGCTGATGGAAAAACAGAAAAACAGAAAAACCCTTGGGTGATTCAGCCAGGCCAGAGGAAAGTCAGTGGAAAGAATGACAGATTTTCACATGTAAGCCCAGCTCAGAGCCAGTTTCTGCCCAAATGTGCCCTCGATTAAAACTGCAAACCCCCAACTGTGGTGCCCCATAAGATCTCACATTGTCCCTTCACCCTACCCAGTCCTTTATGACGTCTCAGTCCTCACCACCACAGGTTTTACTCCCATCCTCTGCTTCTCCTGGAGGATTTGAAGCCGACTGCACCCCACCAGGGGTTTTGGGGAGCCCTCCAGGTGTCTGGGGCAGAGACCCAGTGCTCAGGGTCCAGATTCTGGCTTTGGTGACACCCTGCTGGTGCCACCACGAGTGCCATTCATGGGTGACAGTGACACCCACATGCTCACCCCTTTGTCATTTTTAGGCTGTTGCCCCTCTGTTTCCAGGACAGTGAGAAGCTGAGGGTGAGAGGTTAAAAAGCCAAAGTTTGCAGCAATTTTGGAAGAGAACCGAGCTGCTTTCCCATTTCTAATGCCCCTAAGAAACTCAGATTAATGGATTAATGGCTTTCAGGAAAGCAAAATAACAACGCATTGTTTTTTGCAGCATAAGGCAGGGAGTGCTGCTAATCCAGGCTGTGAACAAGGTGTGATGAGCAGGAAGGATTTTTTGTGGAATAATGACTGGGGGATGGGCAGAAAAATAGAAGAACAAGTATTTCTTTCACAGGCTGTGAAACCAAATGATGTAGGATTGGAAGAACAACGTGGAATAGCAATTATTAGTGGGGCACTGGTGTGGAGTGGGACAAGCAGTTCAGAAGAGAAAGAGGTGTTGGGGGTAGGGAAAAAAAACCACATTTTGTGTTCCTGATGAAAAGGACTGCACGGGAATAGGGAAGGCCAGGTTGGAAAGTCTGAATCTTTAGGTCAAACTCACTTTTGAGTATGATCATGAAAGAGGTTCCCCTGAGATACTTTGGGGAATTTGTTTTAGATTCCCAGGGCTGGACTAGCAGTGACTCTGCAGTGCTGTTCAGGGCATAAATATTGCTGGGAAGTTGTGCCATTATGGAGTACTTTAAACTCTCTAGATACAGATCATAAAAATTGCTGCTAATCATGCAGAGCTCAGCTAATCTTTGCATGGGAAGGAGAAGGCAGATTTCTGCACTGGAGAAACACCAAATTGGCAAGCAGCGACATGGATTTAGCTTTGGTGTTGATAAGTAATTTAAAATAATCCAGAAGAACAGTTAAGAACGATATTACTGTGGGTGGAATGAACCACATTCATTTCATTTAACACGAGTATAAACAAACCTCAGTTGAAACTCAGGCTCCTTTTTCAAGAGGACAAACAGGTGAAAAAACCAGTGGGATATCTCAGGACCTTCACTGCAGGTTGTGTCTAACCTGCTTTTGGAAGTCAACAGTGCTAATATTATCAGCCAGTTATGTGTCAAGAGACTTTCAGCTGCCTGAACAGCTGCGCTGAAAGGATGCTCAGAATAAATCACACAGGTAGAGAGGAAGAGAAGAGAAAAAACAACAACAACAACAAAGATTTTGCAGTTCAAGGTCCACTATTATATGTTTTTATGTTCTGGCCATAAGAGCTTGTTTTTGTGCCTGACTCAGAGCAGTTTGAACAGTGGCTCACTGGAATCCAGTTAAGAGGGGTCCAGCACATCAGTGGCATTTCTCACCCCCTTAGAGAGGTGCCCCCAAACCCCTCGGTTTGTTTAGTCTGGCTGAATGATGGCTGGGCTGGAAGGAGGCTGCTGTGAGAATAAATGCCAGGTGGAAGAGCTATTGAATCGAATTATGATGTTGGCACAGAGACAAATGGGAATAATCCAGCCACGAGTAACTGCTAGGCTGGAAATGAGCACAGTCACAGGCCTGGAAAGCTCAGGAGTCTTCCCTTCACAGGGTTAAAAGAAAGAAAAAAAGTCAGATAATGCAAAATGAGGTGAGATAAGGCAGCTGCTGGTGGGAGGAGGGAGTAATGCATTAAATTTACAGAGTTCTTCTGCCAGAGCAGTGCAAGGAATCCACTTTGTACACAGATAGAAGATGTGAGGAGGCAACCATTTATTTTCCCTGGTACACAGTGGTTTAGTTACCCCCAGAAAAATACTTCATAATGATGGCAGATTTTTTTTTTTGCTGTGGTGAAAATACTGATACGCTACTGCTGGATACAAAAAAAAAAAAAAAATCAATGTATTTGGAGGGTTTTTTAATGATACTTTCTGTAGTTCTGTGTATAGATGACTGATACCCTCCTGCACATAGATTTCCTTGGGATTTAAAAAGCTCACAAAAAAACCTCAACAAAAACGTAATTAATTCCCCTGGATGTTTTGTTCCATATACTGAGCTTTGGAATTACACAGAAACTAGGACATTTTTTCTGATKTTTTTTTCAGTTAAAGTAATATCCCTGATACATCCCAATCTTCCTTCATAATCTTTGCAATATATCATTATATTTCTTTTCATTCCAAGAAACGACAGCCACAAAAGCTGTATGAAATCTCAATGGCTAATTAACTCTGAGCACTGCATTATTTTGCCCAATCCAATAAAAAAAGCTTGTTTGAGGTTCTTTAGCCTTTTAGAACAAGTTAAGAAATAATAAAACACCCTGCCAGCTCCACCCATGACTCCTCACCTACAGTGCAATAAAAGGCAAGGTTACATCCCACAAGGGAACAAAAATCCCAGATAAATGCAAATATAGGTGAGGGACAAATGCAAATGTAGGTGAGATGCATTTCCAGCACAAGGTTTAGGATCATGTTCTTTCCTGGATGTTTTAGGAGGATACTTTGATGGAGAAAGTGCAGGAGAGTGGAGCTTTGTTGCGCCATTGGCAAAGTCATCCCAAGAAGTGTCTGCACAGCAATCCCTGCTCTGGGATGTCGGGAATCTGCTTTGGGATGGTGGGCTTCTGCTTTGGGGTAATGGGATTGTGCTTTGGGGTGTTGGAATTCTGCTTTGGGGTAACGGGATTCTGCTTTGGGATGTCAGGATTCTGCTTTGGGGTGTTGGGATTGTGTTTTGGGGTGTTGTGATTCTGCTTTGGGGTGTCAGGATTCTGCTTTGGAGTGTCGTGATTCTGCTTTGGGGTATCAGGATTCCACTTTGGAATGTTGGGATTCTGCTTTTGGGTGTCAATCCTGCTCTGGGATGTCACAGCCCATGAAGTCAGTGCACTCGACTCCTGCAGAGCAATGGATCATTTCAGAGGGTGACAAATCCCCGAGTGTGTGAAGGGCTTTGTTATGCAAAGCACCACCTGAGATGGTGCCCAGGCAGGAATAACGTCATGTCTCCACTCGGTGTCCCTGCCACCCGTGTCCCTGCACC